ATTGATGTCGTTTTCGCTTTCACCTGCCTCGCGATAGCGCACAGAGTTTCTGTAGCCCGATGATGTACATAGCAAACCCTTTAGGAGTTTCACTATCATATAGAAGCATAGTTCACAGGATTCATCTCAGGTCACCCATATTGATACTTGTACGGACGCGCAGTCCGACTCATGCACATGCTCCACGAGTTGTGTACCGCTACACGTGTCTACACCACATATGTCGTGCAAGTCTTTCGTTTTTTTTGTCACTCACTCACCACACTCACTCGAGTTGACCATATCCACACTAGTTGTGTGTCCCTGAACGAGTTGGTTGTATCAGCGTATTGGTTGGCTATCGAGGTGCTGTTTATTCTCTTTCCAGGCTTGTTCGATTGTAGTCTGAAAACCCATCGCTGTGAGTCGGATTACATTTGGTGAATCAACCCCTGGGAGCATTGTGCCGATCCACAGTTGTCTGATCTGTCTGTTATCTGCTCAGGCCAATTAATTTTCTTTTAATTTGAACTAGCCATCCATCACACTTCTCAAATCACGCAGTTAGTTCGAATCAATAACATCTAGTCCACACCACTCCTAACAAGGAACTGTGAGATAAATCTGAATTATATATATATACTGGCTGTGTTTTGTCAAACGAATGGACATGACAGCCCGTTTCCGTGAATACGGCAACATCTTGATGATAAGAAAATGTTTCCAGAACGATCCTCAAGTGGTCTCTACGATTCATTTCGCTCTCGTTAGACCTCGTCAGTGGTCTGTATGACCGACCCACTCAGGATCTTTCCCTTGGATGGCGTTTTTTGAGTTGGAGTATAAATTATAAATAAACTGAACGAATGTCTTTTGAACTTCAGCGGAAAATTTGATTTCCGGTTGGTGACTTTCCGCTGGAATGGACTGAAGGTATATTGTCCGACTTCATTGTCATCGGGTTATCACCGCTGAAGCCGATTTGTAAACAGGATTACCTGTGTGATTCTGGTTAGTTTGAGTGTGAACTGGTTGGCACAGGGGTCACTAACTTCTTTAATACAAGGTGTCTACGGTCGAGCTGTTGAGCTCTGATGAGAAGAACACTGGAGTTGTTTTCCTACCGAGTGTATGGTTGAGTGGAGAAACTAACAGTTGTGTGTAAGGGCGCAGTTTTTGGAGGGTATTTAAGTCATCATCAGTCACTTTTTGAAGACTTTCTTTTCAAGACTGTGTTCAATGAATGACGTCAAAAAGGCGCTTCACAGTGTACACAGAACATCATCATTATTGTCATCTTATGAACGGTTGGTTAGGGGGAGGATCGCTTGTATCGTGAATTTATTGGTGTTGTGATTTCACAAGGCGGTGCTGGGATTAGAATAGTTATTTATTACGAACAACGGTAACGGTATTGATAAATTGGCATACACAGCAATGTCCCATCTGTAACATGTCTTCAGAATTCCCACAAACAGGATAATTAGTGGAACGGTCCGATCGTGGATGCGAATTTCCCGTAATTGAACACAGTAATTCGCTCTAAGAGATCTTGTTAATTTTTGACCGTTGAGAGCAACAGCCAACCACGTTCATTTGCGCAATCCAAAAGTGCTACTCACAACACTGGTTGCTGTATGCGCTGACTCTTTTTGTGAAAGGCTGCGTGTACCGAGCCACAATAGTTTCGTGAAACGCTTCGTTATGGCATACAGTAGAGTGGGTAAATGTCATACTCACCATAAACCGCTGTTCCACTGTGAAGACTGACAACTGAGGTTGCGCAATTCGAAGCGATAAGTCACACAAAATTTCTTAGTGCAGATATCGTTTCATGCCAGGCCACATCAAGTGTACGAAATAATGAGTTTCTATGCGAAGGATTTTAGAGTATTTTGGGGAGTTGGTTTAGAAAATCAAATTTTTGTGCGAACTTCACTGTATAAGACATATGACTGACCAGTTCGAGGTTGAAAATCCCACGTACAGATTCCAGCTAGGCGTCCAAATAGTTCTCCTATCGTTTAACAGGATGCACTGAGTACTTTGAAATCGAAAGAGAGACAGTGGTGTTGTTCCGGCGCGTTCTACTCACCTCAGATTTTTGTCCTCTCGTTGCACTATAGGATCGCAGTTTATCATGAGAACAACCAGGTAGTAGCCAATTATGGCAATTCAAGGGAACTATAACTTCTACTGAATCATTTTCCTGGAAATTCTGACAGAGCAAGAAAGAAAAACTGGATTTTGAAATAGTTTTCTAGCATGCTTATCATGTGATACCTGCGGTTTCCATCTGTTCAAACAATTATCCATATTCGAATTTACTTTTATTGATTGCAAGGTACTTTCTGTTTAGGGATACTGCTGTCGACCTCTAATTTGATGTTAGTTCTGATGTTGATGCAGAAAGTTCACACTGCCCTTTGACAATTTTCTGTTTCTTTTTCTCCTCAATTTTGAAGTTACGCGCATGTCTGTGGTCAGCTTGTTCTCTAAACGGAAGAAGACTTAGACAACGATAGTTTTCCGGCCTCTCGTTCTGTGTAAGTAAATAAGGAACATGGTTTTCGAATTGTGTACATAACACTATCAGGTCGTTCGGGTGACCCAGTTAGGAAAATCAATTCACATTAGCTGTATATGCGCGAAAGAGTGAGATAAGTGTTTGTTGTCACCAAAACTAACTACTTTTTGCCGGTAAAAATCACACAGACTCGAGGATGATAATGATTCGATCGATAAATTAAGTTCCCGGGGCTGTATTTCCGTGAACAATCAGTGATCTCGTATTACTCTTGCTTGCAAGCCGGTGATATATAAATTCATTAGTGAAGTTGGGATGTAAATATAGACTGTGGAAACTTCTTTTGGTAGAATTACAAACGATAAAATACATCTTTAAGGGGTATCGGTGATATTTGTTTATGCACTTTGTCTAACAGAAGGGGGGATCACTGACATGCGCTTTTTTATTGGTCACATTTATTGTTGTGAATGCATACGCGAGACCGAATTACATTCCGCGTCTATATGGCATAGAAGGTCTGGTATATTGTGCTACCTTTTGGTCAGTTCTGCCCTTCGGTTGTGAGACCTTGAATTCACGAGCAGAAATCTTCCATTAACTAGAGGTTTTCCCCAACTGATGTTTGCGTAGTTTGGCACAGTTTGAATGGGATAAGTGGGTTAGCAGCCTCAAAGTAAGCCGTTGTGTGCCTGGGAACGTTTTGCTGAAGAATTCATCAAATCATAGAATTCGAATGAATAGATTTTCCTAAATAAGCCACATTTTTTATATTGCCTAACAGTCATCTACCGCAGCGCGCCCCATTTGCAGTTTTCGCCCCGCGTTGAGAAAAAATATCATGCAAGGTTGAATGGTGACATGATGATGAATGAACAGATGAAAAATACTTACATAAATACTGGGTTTAAGCTTACGGAGCTTGCTTTTTACCGCAGATAAATTATTTTTGATCTAAGAGGTTTGTACATAATCCGTTATCAAGATTGAAATGTTATTCAGTATCAACGTATTGTACACTACGGAAATTCGTTCAATTTCTTTCTCAACTGTTGCACCGCAGCGCTGGCCGCTTAGAGACATACTGTATACAACTTCGGTGATGTCTTTGTTTGAATGTGCCATAAGTCACTGAACGGTGACGAAATTTTTTATCCAATAAATTCTGACTTACGTATAATCTTTTTTCTTTCCTAATTCTTGGAAGGCTCACAGCCTACAATTTAACATCATCATTGACTGCTATCCTTTGGGAATAAAAGATATAGAGTAACCAGATCACCCAACCATATTACCTAGAGTTTCTCACCATTGCTTGTTCTACCCCTTAGAATGCGGTCTAGAAAGCCTAACATTATCGATGTGAGGAAGTCTACCGGTTAACTTCAAGGTCTGTCGTCCTTCCTTGGCCTTTTTCAGTCACTTTTTGTCTCATCAAATAGCATGCAGGCTGAGAATGACTAGCTGGGAATGTGCATAACACTTTGTGAGGGTCAAGCACTTGAGTGACCGCAATTGTCCACTACCATTCATCCAACTTAGGGGCACCATTCTACTGTCTATCTCACTGGATTCGTTAAATGTGACGTGGATAGCGGAGTTTTAAAGTCAATAGCCTGTGCGTTATCTTTGTTGCGATGCTGGTGCATCCTTCATTCGGGTTAGTCAGGCTTTGGAAACACACTCGAAGCTGCAAAGTAGTCAATTTTTGTGACTGTGCCGAAGATGTCTCAACCGGTCCTTCTGTAACTGTGCTGAGAAAGAAAGAGAAATTAAGCATACAGAATGGCGATAATTGTTTCCTTTCTCAAATTACTTTCGGTTTTCGGTGCACCTCACACTGTATATAGAAGCGGAGTAAAGCAAAATGAGCGTTCGGGTCTCCTGAATATATCTGAAAGGTCTGACAACCTGTATCCTTGTGTGTGTAGTAAATCTGCATCACAGGCATGTTTCTTTTTGTTTTCACTGTGCCCCGCATCTTCCCCATTTAAAAGCAATCACCTCTGACAACGGGCGGGGAGGGGATAGCAAAGCAGTGAGCAGGAACTTTAAAGCGCTAGTCGCTTTTCCGTCATTTGTGGTTTTACCAAGAGGCTCTCTGTTTATTTATTTATATATTATTACATATCGTCCTTTCTTGTTTCCCGATACGCCTTCTTCATTGCTCATTTGTCCTGCTGTCTCTCTCTCTCTCGCACACACACAACCTGTCTTTTCTCTGTGACTGTCACATAATCGAATGTACTGTCTTCTCTCTGACAGACCACATCGAAACCAGGGAACGGTACGATCAGCCCAAATCATATCAGTTCGGACGAGTGTGATCGAAGCACCGCAACTCGGCTTATGACCACAACCAAGTCGACCCTGATGGTTCAATGTGTTCAACTCGGGTTGGTTGGATTGAATCAAGTGGAATGCGCAGTCAGTGGGCGTCAGTACTCCGATCCTCGTCCTACGCGACACGTCTATGTCCTCTGTCCAGGTTGGGACCTACCCATTTTGTTATTCTGGTATTTTTTCAATGATGTGTTCCAAACCCACAGCGCAACCTTCTGTACGAGGAGGTTTAGGGTTGGATGAAGAAGATTTCGTTCCATTGTTGCTATGATCCCGAAACGGGAGGACAAAATAAGAGAAAAGCCACATTCATTCATTAAAAAATATGTGTGCGATCGGATT